AGAACACAGGGGGCTGGAGCGATATAGCACAGCAGGCAGGGCGTTTGCCTTGCACGTGGCCGACCAGGGTTCAATTCCCAGCATCCCATATGGTCCCCTGAGCATTGCCAGGCTACCGAGAGTATCTTGCCCACACAGCAAAGCCTGGCAAGCTACCTGTGATGTATTCGATATGCCAAACACAGTAACAACAAAGTCTCACAATGGAGATGCTACTGGGCCCACTCGAGAAAATCGATGAACAATGGGAGGACAGTGACAGTGAAAGATAGCCCCATGACAATTGGGCTCTAGTAAAGCAAGTCCCAGCCCATATCCCACCCTGCAGCTGTGGCAGGCTGACAACACCAAGTACCCCCATCTTCTCCTTGCCCCTGGAATTCGCCAGATGAGGCCACAAGGCCGGAGAAGGCCTAATGAGGCATCTCCTTGCCCTGGAATTCACCTAATAGGGCCATAAGGCCAGAAAAGGCCTAATTGGCTGCCCGTTGGGATGGCCTGGTGACAGGTACAGAAGAGAGTGGCTGGTGCTGATGGCTTGTTGCAAAATGACTGGCTGCCTGCGTGCAGCATCTAATGTGATAATTCAAATGTATTGGGTGATTTGTGCGCAGGATTTTCTGAAATGCGCGGGAAGATGCCCTATAAAAAGCCCCCTTTGAAGAGGCTGGGGGCTCTCAGTCACTGACGGTTTGCGGTCATGCTCGAATAAACCTCTTGCTTTTGCATGGACTTGGTCTCTCAGAGTTTTCCTTGACAGGTGAGGCTGTCCTGAGCTCGGACCCTAACAACAGTGAAAGTGATTCCTTGAGTGCAAAGCCAGGAGTAACCCCTGAGCACTGCCAGGTTTGACCCAAAAAGCAAAAATAATAAAAAAAAAAACTAAAAAACAACAACAAAAGATAACACAGGTTTTTCCAGGGTGTTAAAAGACAAAAGAGAGAAATACATGTTCAAAGAAAAAAAAAAATCAGACCATGGGCTTGAAAAGCAAGCTAGTGGGGGTTGGAGCAATAGCACAATAGCACAGCCGGTAGAGTGTTAACCTTGCACGCGGCTGACCTGGGTTCAATTTCCCAGCATCCCCTATGGTCACCTGAGCATTGCCAGGAATAATTCCTGAGTGCAGAGCAAGGAGTAGCCCCTGTACATTGCCGGGCGTGACCCAAAAAAAAAAAAAAAAGCAAGCAAGCAAGAAAACAATCCTATCCCGTCATCTATTCTGAGACACTTGGATTATTTCCAGATTTGAGCTATTGTGAATAATGCTACAATAAACAAAGGAGTAAGAAATGTCTTTTTTGTATACAGTTTCAGGGTTCTTGGGGTATGTAAAAAGTGCATGCTGGGTCTTATGGAAGTGGTTTTTAACTTTAGTTTTACTTTAAAACTACACAAATCACGTCAGCAAGGTTTGTTTGTTTTTTAGCTCTAACTATACTCCTGATCAATCAAAGCAGACTGTTATGAGATGGGATGATCTCAGACATAAGTATTTCTTCAAAGTCCCTCAATATAATTTTAGTGCACAGCTATATTGAGGACTACCACCTCAAGCCAGATAGGTCGAATGGCAGATCATCTCTCTATCCTGATCTTTCCAATCAATCTCCTCATACAGGTTAGCAATAATGTAGCTAGGATTTTTAAGTACTCTTTTTTTCCTGAATTTTGATCTGCCCTAACCTAACTTTTTGCATGCAAATCAACTTGACTCATATTGCAGGAAGGCATTCAGTGAACTGATGGATAAATTAACTATTATCCTTTATCCAGATGGATAAATCTTTTGTGGAAATTATTTTGCAATACGTATCATAAATTAATACTTTTATACCTTCAACTCATACAGTGGTCAATGTATATTTTATCTTAGTAAACTTTATAGTACTGTAGCACTGTCCTCCCGTTGTTCATCGATTTGCTCTAGCAGGCCCAGTTATATCTCCATTATGAGGCTTGTTGTGACTGTTTTTGGCATATTGAATATGACACAGGGAGCTTGCCAGACTTTGCCATGCAGGCGAGATACTCTCGGTAACTTGCCGGGTTCTCCAAGAGGGGTGGAGGAATTGAACTCGGGTCGACTGGGTCAGTCGTGTGCAAGGCAAATGCCCTACCTGCTGTAATATAGCTCTAGCCCAGTAAACTTTATATAAAATTAAAAACAATAATTTAAAAATGTCTCCCATTTAATGCCAGTGGGTGGTTTTAGCACCTTGGCTGCTTGGCATAATTTTCTCAGGAAGTCAGAAACGTGTCTGAACATATCATACACCCAGACCGGGTTAATAAGCATAGGTTAATAACAACTGCTTAAGCTTACAGATGCCCCAGTCCTTCCTTCCAGTCATCCTGATTCTGGAGATCTGACACAGAACTCAAGAAACTAATAAAAATTAAGAAGAAAGAAAGAAACTGTACATTCAAGCAACTATTTATGAAAATCTATTGTGAAGGAAATTTTGGAAATCCCATACTCAAGGAAGGAAGAAATAGTATCCAAAGCAAGCGAGAAACATGGTTTCCCTAGAAATTCTGTGAGAGAAAGAGAGAGAGAGAGAGAGAGAGAGAGAGAGAGAGAGAGAGAGAGACAGTGACAGAATTTCAATAATTGTGACTGTCTGTAGGGTGAAGTTTGAGAGATACAGAGAAGCAGACAGATTAATATTCCTAGGCTACAACATGTTTTAGTTAAGTTATCCTAAAGGAAAGAGGTATAAATTATTCTGGTATAAAAGGTTATTCTGTATGACACTCTTCAGATTCCCTTAATAGAGGCTTCCAGGGAAAAGCAAGAAAGCATATCAGCAGGGAGAAGTCCAGAAACCATTGATCTAATCCATTCCAGAATTACTCAAGGTCAGAAACAAGTGTTCTCCTTTAGCTAGCATGAAACTTCGAGTGTAGATGAGGTAGGGAGAATTAAATGAGATGGGAACAAAGTAATCAATAAAGCGATTTTAATTATTAATAGCAGATTTTCTATGGTCAGAGGAATAAAAGAAGAAATTATGTTTCCCATGAGAATAAAGAGAATCCCAGATGTGTGGGAGTCAGCTGCAATGTTCCTTTAGTGGATAATTTTATCTTTGTGATAAATAAAAGAACACTGAGTAGAATTCTAAAGAAAAGTGAAAGAATAAATTTGCTTTTAAAGCCATGCAATATTAATTCAATTTTATGAAATTTGGTAAAGCCTGCTCACTTGAAATATGATGCAATGTTTCTCTGTGTTGAAAAATGTTGTGCTTAAAAGATCTTTTTAAGTATTTTCATTATATTTTAATTCTTTTTGTCTTAGGTTTCTGTTAGTAGATACAAGAATGCATTGCTTTGTTCTTTTTTAAACTTTTTAGAGAAAAATAAGATAGCATGCACAAAAAATCTTTTTCCAAAGAACTATCACAGTATTTTGAAACACAATTGACTTTGAACTCAAACCTGGTCAATTTTTCTAGTAAATTTTGAATTTCTCGTCTAACCAAATCAGTCTAGCATTCTCCTTAATCTACACCTAACTCCAATTTTATGAGGAGAAAACCTCAAAACACACACTTTACCAAATATATTGAAATCAGAAACATTATCCCAGAAATACTCTTGAACTCTAGATTTATGCTTAGCATCTAATGAGCAGGAGTACTGATACACTGTTTTAAAAGTTCTGAAAAAGATAACAGTTCTAAAGTATTCATGTCTTCAAATAATTTATTAGGCATTTACTGAAGGAAATAAATTCACAATCAAATCAGGGGTGGTGAGGAGGGTGCTTGAGAGGTAAAAGAAATCAGTCCTGGTCTCCACCCAGATTCAGGCTATTATTCTTATGCACCAGAAAAGACTTTCCAGAGAGGATGTAAAATAAAATAAAAGCATTTTATTTCAGGAATGTAAGAGAGAAGAGAGCCCCAAGGTAAAGGGAAACTATTCCCTCAGGAAGGACTTGAGCAGTCCTAGAATAGAGCCACCAAGCTGTTTTGGGAAGTTGATTTGGGGGGATTTTTGACTGATGTGCTCAGCCTGGCTGAGGTCATTGCTAGGGGCTGTCAAGGAGAAGAACTCTTAGTCCTGGGGTTTCTTTGTTCCGCTGAGTCTCGGTGATCTCTAGACAGAGGCTGGTTTTCACCTGGAACTAGCAGCAAGGATGACTTTTCAGAGTAAATATTGTGTCTCCAAGTGGTTTAAATGGTTTGTATCTCACCTACCATTTTTGGTTGTTTTATGGACTTTTGTCTCCTTGAAATTAAGAATTAAGAGGCCCCCTACTTAGACTGCTTCCTCAGAAATCAATAAGTTGGACGTGAGTAATTTCAATCAGTGAACTGAGAATTCTAACTGTTGAGCTACAAGTTACCTAACTCTTAAAGATCAATTAACAGGGAGGTGGGGCCATGTTCCTTTGCAGGTGTCAGGCTGATGCATAGCTGGGACACAGTGGTAGAGAGTGTCAAACCATTGACTAAAATTCTATGATGTTTTGAAATCTTTTTTTAAAGCCTTCTCCAGCCACCAAGATTTCTCACATTGAAAACCTCCGAACCTCGAAGAGGTCAGGCAAACATGACATGAAGCTGTCCTGGACTTCTTACTTCCTTCTTGTGGTGTGGCCTGTGTGTGAGTAACTAGTTTTAATATTTAAATATCACCCGAAGCACTTGTACCTTTGTAATAACAAAGCAACAAAAAAGTCTTTCACTGGGGAGTGAGACTGGGCTGGGAAATGAGTGAATTAATTCTGAGCCTGCCCTCAGCAAGTGCTCTACACCTTTGAGAAATTTTCCACCCACCTGCCCTTACCCTAACCCAGCAATTATTTTAAGGCTGAATAAAAAGAACATTAGCTCAGAAGGCGTCAGAAGTTGGCACGAAGGGTATTCTGCAAAGCAAGCTGATTTGCCCAATAGCTGATACTTTAAATACAGTCACTAATACTTTAGGCTCTCTCCTCCTGAGCATAGTCCTAAATCTCTTCTTCATAAATTTGGAAGAAGACTTTTTTAATCCAGATTTTCAGGCTTCACTAAAGGAGCTGTCTGCTCACAGATCCAAGAAATTTCAGCACTGCAGCGAGAAATATAAATTTTCCCATTTTGAAAATAGGCACATCTTTGGGTTTCATCAGTCGAGCTATAATCTGCAGGATTAAATCTGAAAGTGAATCAAAAGAAAGTTTAAATATCATTCTAAATCTTACATTGGAAATTTGATCACAACTTAATGTTGTTACCTCCTAGACAAACATCACGAATGTTGAGAGACTTCACCACCAAATGCCCAAACCCCACAACCTGCCATATCTGAATTCTTTATTTAAAGTTAATAATGATGCCAGGGTCCTGAGAGAGAGAGTCTAGGGGTTAAGGCACTTGCCTGGCAAAAAATGAAATTGCACGTGGTCCCCTGAGCACTCCCAAGTGTGATTTCTGAGTATAGAACCAGAAGTAGTATCTCCTGAGCACTATGGGTTGCTCCCCCCATCCCCACCACACACAAACATACACACACACACACACACAGAAACTATGATCCCAGATAGAATTACGTAAGATGAATTACGTAAGATAAATTCTTAGAATTTGTATTCTTCTATTAACATGAAAAATTACCAAGACAGATTGTATTTGTTTTGTTTTGTGTCAGGCTGGAATCACTCCTGGTGAACTCAGGGGACCAAACGTGGTGCCTGAGGACCAAACCCAGGTGTGCCACATGCAAGGCAATCACACTGCCCACTATATATTCTCCTCAACCCAGGAGGATTATATTCCAGGAGCGATAGCATAGCGGGTAGGGTGTTTTCCTTGCATGCGGCCAACATGGCCTACCCCAGTTCGATTCCTCCGCCCCTCTCAGAGAGCCCAGCAAGCTACCGAGAGTATCTCGCCCGCACGGCAAAGCCTGGCAAGCTACGCTTGACGTGTTCGATATGCCAAACACAGTAACAAGTCTCACAATGTCACTGGGCCCACTCGAGCAAATCGATGAACAATGGGAGGACAGTGACAGTGACAGTGACAGAATTTCTATAATTTGGGGATTTAAGAAGAATGAAGCCATATTGTAAGCAATAATGTAAAAACGTCATTATATTTGACAATGCACAGGGAGCGATAGCACAGCGGGTAGGGCGTTCGCCTTACAAGCGGCCAACATGGCCGACCCGAGTTCGATTCCTCCGCCCCTCTCGGAGAGCCCGGCAAGCTACCGAGAGTATTCGCTATGCCAAACACAGTAACAACAAAGTCTCCAATGGAGACGTTACTGGGCCCGCTCGAGCAAATCGACGATCAACGGGAGGGCCTTTACCTTTACCTTTTATACAGAGTTTATAGGCATGGGGAGGGGAGAAAGAACAAGGCAGAGGTTAAGAGAAGAGGAAGAACTGCAAAGCTCCATGGTTATGCTATTAGTACTTCTTCCTTCTATTAAGGAGATGCTCTTAAATCATGTCTAGAAATATAGGTTCTGCAGGTATTAATAATTCACCGTTTGCTCCAATTTGCTTTTCCCTAATGATCTGCCTTGTATTTTGATATCATGTTCTTGCAGAGGGCTGGGCTTGCTAAATCTGTTGGTATAAGAGTGACATTCAGAGGTGCCTTTGCTCCTCAGAAGTGACCTTGTGGTTCAAAGTTCAGTTTTGCTGAGCAGGACATTTGATTGAGCAGAACACTGTTCACTCAGAGTTTGCATATTTCATCCTTGTGGAAGGAATCATCACTTTCACCGTGATCGAAAGTGGGTTGAGGCACCAGGGATGATGGAAATTCTTTTGGAAACAAGTCCACTTAATATCCTGTCAGCCCTCAGCCAGAAGTCATGCCTAGCATAAAATTGTAGTCACTCCATGGCCACTATTGCTATAATTTTAAGAAAGAAACCTTTATTGTTGTTTTCTTATGACTCTGATTATGCTTTCCACTATTATGATTTGCATGAAATAAGCCTGGCATATTCAATATAAGTTTTACAATGATTAGATTTAGATACTTTGCAACATTTAAATCATATTAAGTAGAAAAAGTCATGATGAAGCTTTTGGAAGGAGATAAGGTTTATCACCAGGAAAACAGTACAGACTTTGCTTGCAGAAGGCCTGGGTTCCAGGCCCAGCACTGCATGAAAACCTAAACAATTCCAAAAGTGGCCCCTGGTCACTGCAGATGTGATCCAAAAACAGAAAAAAAAAAAACAAGAGATAAGGTGCATGTAGAGAGAAAAGTACACACAGCTTGATATTTAAGGAATTTTCTGTGTTCCAAGTACAGTATCTTTGTCAGATATTGTGACAAACTTATTTAACGTAGCAGTAAATTTGCTATGTCATTAGCAAATTAACTTTGACAGAAATTAACGACTTAAATATAGTCTATGTAAACTCTGACAATGTTAATTAAAGAGCAAAATAGAGTGAGTCAGAGGGACCAATAACTCAATGGAGGAGGCCTAGAGGAAAAATATGAATATAAAAAACCATAAAGAGATAATTATCTAAAATTTTATTTAATAGAAAGATACTATAGTTTACATTAAAAGTGAATATAGGGGCTAGAGAGATAGTATAGTGGATAGGATTCCTGTCTTGCGTGTATGTGACTGACCCAGGTTTGATCCTGGATACCACATACCATTTCCTGAGACCCACCAGATATGATGCTTGAGCACAGAGCCAGGAATAGGCCTGAGCACTTCTGGGTGTGACTTAAACTGCACTGAAGGACTGTCCTCCCATTGTTTATCAATTTGCTAGAGCAGGCTCAATAACGTCTCTGTTGTGAGACTTGTTGTTACTGTGTTTGGCATATCAAATATGTCACAGGGAGCTTGCCAGGCTTTGCTGTGTGGGTGAGATACTCTTGGTAGCTTGCCAGGCTCTCCAAGAAGAGCGGAGGAATCGAACCCAGGTCAACCAAGTTGGCCGCGTGCAAGACAAGTGCCCTACCGCTATGCTATCGCTCCAGCCTTATACTTAAACAAACAAACAAGCAAATAGTTAATACAATAGTGCCATTTTACTATAACTGTGATGTTTCTAAAAATATTTGATTCCTTAGTACCTACAAGATCCGGGGGGTAACATTTTATGCCCTTCTGAATATTTTTAATTGACACTTGTTTTCCTCATAACCTTAAACAGTTATGAAGATCAAAGACTTTAGTAAATAATACTCTCTAAGTTGAGAGAGATAGAGAAAGGGAGAGGGAGGAGGGAGAGAGGGAGAGAGAGAGAGAGAGAGAGAGATAGAGAGAGAGAGAGAGAGAGAGAGAGAGAGAGAGAGAGAGAGAGAGAAGGAAAATGCCTGCCACAGAGCCAAAGAGGCAGGCTGGGGGAGGAGGATTGCAGGAAGGAAACTGGGGACATTAGTGGTGGGAAATATGCACTAGGGGAGAAAGGGGTGTTGGATCATTGTAGGACTGAAACCCAATCATGAACAGCTTTGTAACTGTGTATCTCATGGTGACTCAATTAAAAATTTAAAAAGTTTAAAAAATCTTCAAGTGGAAGATTTAACTCCTTTTAGTTAATAAAAATGTTTGTCATACAACAAATTAATAAGTCCCCATCACAAATAACTTGCTAAGTCAATCAATTAAAACATGTTTTATGTTCTTAAAAGTTGACAAGTAAGAGATTCAGATAAATGCACTAGCACATGCTTTTATAATAGGCCCCATTCTTCTGGAGTTTAAATTTTGGAGAAATGAATAGCTGAGAGACTGGCTTCATAATCCTTCAATAGCTCAGTCCTAATTTTGTTACTTATGAGCTGTGCGACCTCGAAAAATTTATTTAATATCTGTGACCATTTTTTTAATTCTGTAAAATGGGATATAACAGTGACTTCATAATAGGGATACTTGTGGAAATGTTTTGAAAATCTTTAGTATTATTTACTAAATAAGGAAATAAATGTAAATTCAAAGGTGAGGTTCAGTCTCCTGTCATGAATTAAATTAGGTCAGCTTCTATCTCAATAGGTTACTGCAACTCTATTTTCTTTGTAAGTTATCTTTATTTTATTTTTATTTATTATTTTTGTTTTTTGGGCCATGGCCAGCAGGACTCAGGGGTTACTTCCATGACATTGGCCAAGGGTCGCTCTCTGATGATGCTTAGGGCACCAAGTAATAGTTCCACATGCAAGCAAGAACATTAGTCTTTCGAACTCTCTCCCTGACCCTCTGTATTCATTTTATATCTAGAGTGCTCATTCTTACAATGAATATTTATTTTTAGAAACTATTCTTCGGGAAGCTGACTTTCTCTCAACAGACTTACATGGATGGAGAAGGAACGGAACCATCATCCCATAGCCAAGTACTGGTGGATGGGTCCAGTGATAATCCCAGCCAGAAGAAGGAATATTTGGGTAATGGTCTTGACTTCAAATAGTCCTGAGACAAAAATTAAAATTAAAATTAAAAAACAAATCAGGGAAAACGTTATTTGAGAGTCATATTCCATTTTTGCAAGAGTAAGATGGAGGAGAATACTCATGAAATAGTTCACGAGACTATTCATTAAATAATTGGCCTATTAATTCTCATTCAAAATGCCCTGAGTTCCTACTAAGTGAATCACAGATTCTAAGGCCTGGATCATTTCTTTCAGCACAGAAAGGAGACCCTGGCACACCTTCTCCTCCTGGGTCTCTATCTTCACCAAGGAGGATTCCTTCCCCACACAGTCCTCTTTACTGTTGTCCCAGTTTTTCTCTTCAGTTGTTATAAAGTAATAGCAGCTGTCTTGGTACCAGTGCCATGTCTTAGGACAAGGATTACATTTGTGGTCTGAAAGAGAAATTGGATCAATAAGTACAAACCAAAACTCAGAGAGATTGGAGAAAGTTTTTAAAGTTAGAGTATTTGATTTGACAGCTAGGGAGAGTACCATGAAAACGTAATTCTTTGAAAACAGGGACCAGAGCGATAGTACAGCAGGTAGGAACATTTGCCTTGCACTAGGCCAACTAGGATTCAATCCCAGGTACCCCATAGAGCCCCCGGACCCACTGTTAGAAAGGATCCCTGAGTGCAAAGCCAGGAATAAGCCCTGAGGACTGTTGGGTGTGGTGCCCAAAAAACAAACAAATTTTTAAAAAGAGCAAAAAACTGAATATATAAAAATAAAGTTACCATTGATTATAGGTCAGAGAAATGATTGAAACCATTTTTCAAGATTCCCTCTTGGGGAATTAATTTGTTTTTATTTTACTGTTATTAACAGTGTTCTGTTATTAACACTACACTGTTGCCTTCAGTGAGAACCACATCAAACTCAACAATGAAACCGAGACTAAAGTATCAGATCGGCATTATTTTAAGAAGCACTTCAAATTTGCCTCTGATTTTTAAAAAACATGAAATAACTTAGCATCTTTCCTGTTTTCTGTAAGTGTGTGTATGTGTGTGTGTGTGTGTGTGTGTGTGTGTGTGTGTGTGTGTGCGCACCGCACCTGGCTGTACTCAGGGCTTATTCCTGGCTTTACACTCCTAGAGGGACCATATGAGATGCTAGAGATCAAGTCCAGGTCTGCCATGTGCAAGGCAAGCACCCTACCTACTGCTGTAATATCTTTTCAGGCCCTGTTTTTTTTTTTTTTATATAGATTTAATACACATCATAAGGGACTATATTAGAAAACAGGTAAGTCATATTCCAAAGTGATGCCCATTTGAGCTGGTCAGCAGGTCGATTACCTGAAGTGTGAGTGACTAACTCTTGGCAGAGTTTGGTGGCTATTTTTTTCTGCCATCTCAGCAGATCGGCGATCTGTGATTTGAGAGATTTCTCCTTTTCGAGCAAGTCCCTGGAGGCGGTCTGCTGCCGTGATGAGTTAGCCCGCTGCTGCTCGATGATTTGGAGAAGTTGAGTCAACTTCTCAGAACCTGAATTCATTTTAGATTCTGTCTGAAAAACTCCAAGATGCAAAAGAAAATAGGTTATACAGCTTTCCATTTATGTTAAACATAAATAAATCTCTGACCAGAGAATTCTTTGTATCATTTAATGTTTATTAATGGTTCTTAATAATTGAGGTATCATGAAAGGCACACACCAGATGTTTACCTATTCTACACTTTTGCTGGGCTAGAGCGATAGCACAGAGGTAGGGCATTTGCCTTGCACGCAGCTGGCCCGGCCGAGCTGGGTTTGATTCCTCCACCCCTCTTGGAGAGCCCGGCAACCTACTGAGAGTATCTCGCCCACAAGGCAAAGCCTGGCAAGCTCCCTGTGATGTATTCCATATGCCAAACAAAGTAACAACAAGTCTCATGATGGAGACATTATTGGGCCCACTCGAGCAAATCGATGAACAACGGGAGGACAGTGCTACAGTACTACTCTTTTGCTATTCATATTGGTGGAATTATTTTTCTGGTTGGAGGTGGCTAATGTCATTATTTTAATAGAAGCATAATCCTTTAGGGAATAATGGACCTCTCAAAGTCCCACAGACCAACTGCAACAGAATCACATGGAGTGAATGTTTTGAAAAGAAAGCATATTTTGATGCCACTTTTACAAATTTCTGGTCCTAAATCTGTAAAATTTGCATTTTAAATCAGTTTAGGTGACCCGAAAATTTATCAGGACAATAAATTTAAGAACCATTGCTCTGTAAGCACACCATTTCAGAGAAAAATGTATGTTTGCCTATCCTGGACCAACGGGTAAGTGTCATTCTTGGAAATATGCACCATTGTCGATTAACTGCTAATTCTCATCATTATTGGCTTCTAAATAGCTGCTATTACTATTATCATAGTGTATATATTTTCCAATGAAGTGAGTCTTCATATATGTCTAAATAGATATGTCCTAATCCTAATGATCAGTGAGATCTTGCATATTTAAAAGGAAATAATAGTTGTAAAAAAGATTGTAGTATTACTGAGCAAATAAACATTGGTCAATAAAAACTTCCTGAAAATAAATACTCTGACAACTCTTTATTCTGAACATAGTATATTCAACATCCTACAAAGCAGGTGTACTCGGAGCATTTTCCACTCCCATTAGTCCAATACTTCCTATCCTATTCACTTTGGACTGCCTGATGATGAGTCTAGATCAAATAGACATTCCTTTTTGGCTCTGATGGTAGTACTATTATGTGGTCCACTTTCTACGTAATGAGTTGAGTCTGTTCGGCAACCCTTCTGCCAACTATTCTTGGTGATAGCAATCAGGCTGCTGCTGGTACTCAGCAGTTTTCCCACACTAGAAAGATCTTAGGTCAACACATAAAGTCAGTCTTGTACCATGTGTCAGAGACAAATAAAATGGCTGAGCTTTGAATCCTTCTTCCTCGACTTTGATTTTTTTAGCATGCTATTTGAAACAGATGTTCATCTAGCAAGTCAGGGGTCTTGTAACTGCAACAATAACAAGGAAAAAAAGTGTGTTTGGCCAGAGATATTTTCTTAACAGGCTTCACTATATATTTTACATCCAAAGGCCTGGGTTTAATCTCTAGCACTGCAGATTAGCCCCTGGACATCTCCAATAGCAACTCCCGAGCATAAAGCCAGGAGTAACACCTGAAACACGACCAGCTATGGCCCACAAACAAAGACAAAAGTTGTCTTCATCACTGTTTTGGTCTATCAAGGAGAAACCAATGGATTTTAATACTAAACTCATTACAATAAAATAGGTCTCCCGCTCCTTTGTCATAGAGACATGAGGAGTAAGTTAGAGAGAAGTTGAGAGAAGAAGAGAGTAAGTTAGAAAGAAGTTAGAGAGAAGGTAAAATCAGCATGAGAGGATTCTGGAGGCTAGTACCTATCTTGTCACCAAACCTCATTTGACAAAGTTTATAAATGTTTCCCAATATTCCTTATCTTGGGCTGGATGCAAATATACTTACACAGGATCCCCAAGGTCACCAGCCCTATCAGCATCAGGAAGCAGAGGGCGAGCAGACCCAGGGCAGCCTGCCGCCAGGTGGGAAACTGGCCCGGAGAGTCTAGGGAAAGCACACAGAGTCATCAGCACAGGGAACTGTCTCGTGGTTGTTAGGCTTCAGGTTGTTTATTTCTCCCCCGTGGGAGACTTTTTAAACTTCCTAAAGTTTCTCTCTTGCTTCTTCAATGACCCAATCTAGAAAATACCTAAAAGGATGGGCAGCAAGCTCTTGATTTTTTTTTTAATCTCTCTATAATTTGCCCTTCTTTTAAGAATAAGGATCTGGTCAAAGAGGTAGTTCAATGGATTTGCATGCAGGAGGTTCATCTCGGAGGCTTTGGGTACCACATGGCCCTTCAAGTATCACCAGGAACCACACCTGAGCATTAAGCCAGGAGAAGTCTCTGAGAGACACCAGGCATGACTCTAAAACCAAAAATAATAATGAGGGGCTGGAGCAATAGCATAGCGGGAAGGGTGTTTGCCTTGCATGCGCTGACCTGGGTTTGATTCCCAGCATACCCTGTGGTCTCCCGAGCACCACCAAAAATAATTCCTGAGTGCAGAGCCAGGAGTAACCCCTGTGCATTGCTGGGTGTGACCCAAAAAGCAAAACAAAACAAAACAAAACAAAAAAACCCTAAAAATTAATAATAGTGTCTCAAATTTTAGGATTTCCTCTTTTTTGTATTTCCATACATATTTATCTTTGACTTTATTGAATCAGTGAATGAGAAGTGTGAGGATTCCATCTCTATTTGATCCTGATTAAGTAGGATTAAGTCTAAGTTTTTGCAACTTCAAACTTCAGTAAGACAGGTGTTTCATGGATTCTATAATCTACTTTTTAATGGATGTTATAATCTATTTTATAAAACACCTAATGGAAGACAAATAAGTACTGAATGAAAGAAGAAATGAATGAGCAGTCTAATCAATAAATAGAAAACTAGACCAGGAAACTGGAGGATAATAATTATCCTCCAGGAGCATTTGGTGTCCTGCCACTTTTCATGTATGTTGATATAAGAGTGCTCATATCTACCTGACCTCATAATTCTTTAATGCCAGATTAGTGGCATGTGAAGCCACGCTTCAGAGAGATGAATGCAATCTCAGGCTACACGGCACAGGTATTATAGCGCCTTTTCCTCAAGGATTACACTTGTAACTTTTTCAAATCTCCTAAAACTAAGGAGGTATATGTTTGAATATGCACATTCTATTCACTCCCACCCTCCTTTTTCTAAATCATTCCCACAAACCACAAAAACATGGAATTAAACAAGCAAACATATAAAGAAAATAGCAAAGTTCATATGCTACAGGTGATTAAAACAGGGACAGCAATTTCTTCCAACAGGATATGAAGAATGAGCAGAAGAGTAGAATGAAAACTGTTCCCCTCCTCCTTCATACCAGTTGCATGAATTTAGCTAAACTTGTAGTTCAACCTCTTTTTTTTCCTCATGAGTGCATTGTAAGTAAACTATTATTCCCTTCCAAAGATATATTTTATAAAGATAAAATGAATAAAAACTTCAAACAGTTATTATTGATTCAATATTATATTGAAATATCAACTCCTTTAAGAAAAGTTTTTTAAAAAATAGACAAGACAGAAATTGGCTTTTGTCCTACTCACCCATCCTATAATTTTTCAGTTATTTATACCTTGATTAAAAAAAGAATTCTTTAAACCTTCTCTATTTCCTAAGTTTCTTATTGGGCTTCTGAAAAGACTGTTCTCCTGCCATCTTTCACAAGGTATAAATAGCAAGTATTTCAGTTGTAAAAAGAAATACCCAAATTTGACCTTTGCCATGCCCAATCAAAATGCTTTTTTCTAACACAGAATTTCCTGAAACTTAATAATATCATACAATTTAAAGAGGTTCTGGAAACCTCTTTTCTCCCCCAGATTGGGACTCCCTCATTCAACTCTTACATTGCAGAACTGTGTATCCATCTTGGATATTTGCACAGAACATCTCTTTTTAGTCTCAACATCACAGCCAATCCCTCCCAGATTTCTCTGTTCCCACGGTCACATGCGGCTTTTGCTGAGCACCTACCTTTTATCCGTAAGTTATTTCTATCCTGGCAGTTTCCTGTTCCAGCAGGATCCTGCAACGTGAGTGTCGCATAAGTCACGTCTTCAGACATTGTCGAAGAGAGGACTCTTTAAATCATATAATTATTGTTTCAATATCTTTGGGTCCAGAAACAAGATGTTCTTTTCAAGGTTGGAAACCTTCCTACACACATTTAACTGACCTAAGACCCACCCTCTGCAAGTACAGAATGACCATCTGCTCCTCTGCAGAATGTGAAAAATCAAACAGTCTCTTTGGAGACCAGAACACTGTGAGAATCTCTCTGCTTATTGAGAAGCGAGAAGTACTTGCAGGCAGAGCAGCCCTGGTGGTTTTTGGTGAATTCCCAGGATCCTCAGGGGAGACGCAGCTCTAAATGCTTCAACAAAGGATCGAGTTGTTGTCTTTCTGTGGCCAAGGCCAGCTCATTCTGGGTGGAGACATTGGATATCTATCAGATATCAAGTAGATACACACAGCAAGACGGGAAGAGCTGGAGAGTTAAGGACCACACAGCCTGGCTCCTGTCTACTTATTTTATTAAAACATTTTGATATACAATGTTACTCAGCGTTTAATTTGAGGCATACAGTGGTCCAGCACCAATTCCACTATCAGTGTCGACTTCCCTCCACTACTGTCCCCAGTTTCCCCTCACTCCCCCAGCCTGCCACCTTGGCAGGCACATTTTTAAAGTTATGTTGTGGGGGGGTTGCATCTCATGAGTTCATTGCTGTTGACTCTGTGGTTGAACATACAGCTGTCCCTCTCCTCGATACCACCCATGTACCTGAGTGCCCTTGACCCCTGTCCCAACTGCTTCCTATCTGTCTTCTACTTCCACCATCGATATCTTGACCTTTTTATCCTTCTCTGTATGCCCTGAGGTCGAGTGATTATTCCATATCTCACACTTTACACAAAAGCCAATTCAAGATGGATCAAAGACCTTAAGATCAGACCAGAATCTATAAAGTGCTGCTTTTAAGAAATTGAAACATTCAAAAATTCAAATATTGATTTGTGTCTGAGTGTCTAAATGTGTGTGAGAGATAAAACATCTGCACCAATACAAATAGGACCAGAAGAAACTGCTAGCTACTAAAATTCTATGACTGACAATTCCCTTCTGGCATGACGGTTCATAACAAATCAATGCTCTTGTGATGATAACCAAGCACAGAACAAGATTTGTAAAAAAGATTACCTGAAGTTTTAAGAAAGTGAAAAAGATGAGGAGGATTCTGGAGGAAATGAGGCTAACACAGGGTGCTTTCATTTTTATTTCTATGAATCTATGGGTGGGGAGGCCACAGTCATTTTCTGGAGACACCCACAATTCTATTTTTTCTGGCTTGGGGCAACTCTCAGTGGTGCTCAGGGCATATTCCTTGCTCTGTGTCAGGAATTACTCCTGTGGGTCCTGGAGGGACCATACTCACTGCAAACAATTGAATTCGGGTAGGTCACATGCAAAACAAGTGCCTAACTCTACTAACTAACTCTCAGGCCCTGACAGCAGTATTCTTATACAAAACACCCAAGTCTTTTACTTCTGAAGAATAAAAGGGTGAAGTTTGGGAAACTTTAATTATTCCAACAAACATTACTGGAATAATTGTATATTTATATGAAAAGTGGAAGGAAGGAAACTCTAGACTGTTTCTTTAAGCAACAATTTTTGTTTCTTTAAGCCACAATTTTATTTATACTCTTTCCAAAACCAAAAACCTTGATAAAATAACCTTTATTTATTTTCTCTTTAAAGATGCTAAAAAGATATTTCCAATAAAAGTAAGCTGAGTGAGCAAGCATTTATATGATGATACTTGAAGCTTACAACAATAACAAATGAACAATAAAAACTAGTAATTATTTGTTAGTATTAGTTATTTTTTAAAAATATGAGAAAAAAGCAGCACCATCATGTGGACTGTTGCTCATTTCATCACAATAAACTACCACACTCACAAGGCTATTGAAGGATTTATCTTCTCACCCCACCTTTTTAATAAAACTTTATGTAATTAAAGAAAAAAAAATTTTCAGTGTCAATGTGATAGTACAGGGATCAAGGCACTTGAACTGAATGGGACATTCCAGTTTGATCCCCAGTACTGCATATGGTTCCCTTATTGCTGTCCTGAGCAAAGATACAGGAGTAATTACTGAACATCCCATTCATGGTCTTACCTCACACAAACATCCAACTCTCTCTAGAGGAAAACAAAACAAGAGAAAATAAACCGTGAAGATCCAATAGCACATAAACATCTCCCCAAAGGCCCCAAATTTTAATTTCTGGAACCTCAGAAGATATCAGTGTTAAAAAATAGAAGTCAATTGAGTTTCTTTAGAGAACCGATAGATTTTATTAAATAATCTACGGATCAGGCAACATTACACCTTGAAAATAAAAAGACTCAGAGGTTTGTACAAAATGGAAGGATTTTTATAGTTAAGAAGATGGTGGAACACGGGTACTAGTGGAAAGACACAAAGATATTTCAGGAATAGCTGTTTTACTCTAAGGGAATACAAGGGAATTTATTTTGGTTCCAAATTCAACTTTGGGGAGATGTTGAAATGGCAATTAAATTAAATATTTGTACCTGGTATACAATTTATTTGGATCCTGCTTCTTTTTAAAACAGTAGATCATACAACCAAAGGGATGAGACATTTAGTTAAGATTATAGATATTATTTGGACGAATTCAATTTAATCACAAGCCTCAAAGAAGTGGAGAACTTGGCCAGAGAGCTAGTACAGAGGATAGGATGTTTGCGTTGCTTATGGTTTACCTGGGTTCAATTCCTAGTAACCCAATTGGTCCCCCAGGTTGGCAGAAGTGATCACTAAGTGGAGAGTCAGGAGTAAGTCCTGAGCATAACTGTGTGTGGCTCAAAACCAATAATAAGAAAAAAGTGTGGAGAATTTTTCCTTAACAGAAAGCATTATAAAGAAACATCATAAGGCAAAGAGAGAGATAAATATTATTGGCTAAAGATGCCGGCTGGGAATCAGGGCTAAGAAATGCAGACTAGAGGAAATTAAGAAAAGGGATTCTCCTCATCAATGGCCAAGATCCAGAGAGCAATGCAGAATCTCCTGCCCCAGTGCCAGGCTGTCTTCATAAGGGCACCTCGGGTGGGGTGGGGGGCGGGTTGAGTTTCCCTCCTTAACCCAAGCAGAGCCCTGGCAGCCAAAACCCTCCAGAACCCAGCCACAGCCTTGCTCAAGGCCACTCTCCACATCCTCAGATGAGCCTCACCCATGAAGGAACCAGCAGAGGAACCCAGGTATGCGCGACTCGTGGCTAAAATCTCCAAGCCTGCTCGGATTGGGACTAGGACTCCTCTACCCAGATTCCCAGTTTTCCAGTAGCTTGGCAGTCACACCCACAAACTGCCCCCGCCTTCCCGGCACCATGTAATCTCATCAATGGCCAAGATCCAGAGACTTAAAATAAAGCTCCTGGAAGAGAGCAACACAGTATTTTCTGGAGCACACGGCCACCTTTTATACTCTAGCCCACTGATGTACCTAAAGTTGCACACTTGTGTTTGGTTTTAACATACTTGCTTGTATTCTCTTGTATACGAACTTTAAATGACCCCAGAATGAAACACAACAACCTTCACACACTTCCCTCTTATTGTGGTGGGACTATGCTCTCTGGTTAGGTGGGTGTTTGAATATTATTTGTAATGAACTATTGTGAACTACTTGATGAAAATAAAATGTATAAAAATCGCAAAAAAAGGAATTCTCCCATGAAAATTTTTACTTCTTTATTTTTAACTTTTAGTCATCAAAAATTTCAATACTGTCAGTAATCAGATTTCATACATACATATGTTTCCCACACCACAACCCTAGAATTCAGCGACATCAACAACTTTGTTTGACCCCTCCTATGAAACCCATGTCATAATTCTGTACTATAGGACTGTAAAATAAACCATGTCATTTAAGTTGCTGTACTTGTCTAATTTTTAGATAATGCAGCTGTAGGAAGCTAATATAGAACTAAAAACTGTAAAACATAATCAAGAAAATTTTTTTCAAGGTTTCCTTTGGGGTAAGAGAATGACATAATTTAATGGAGGTGAGGTTGGGGTTCAAGAATGGTAAGCAGGTTTGTTTTCAGGTTATTTGGGTGGATGAATCCAAAACTGACCAAAGTCCAACTCTGGGTGAAGATCGTCCTAAGGAAAGGTCTTTAGAAAATACCCTTTATTGCATAAAATAAAGACGACATTTATGAAATATGAACTATTTTCTTTGGAGATACATTGAAAGAAATACTGTGTTTCCACGCTGGGAAATTATATTCGCTATGTTTCAATGATGAATTGAATTCCTACATGCAATATCAATTTGAGAAAAAGCATTTAGGAAACTACTACATAGCAAACTAACCAAAGAATGGCCAGAAAGGAAATTAATTCAAACTTATTTGCAAAAAGAAAGGGAGAGAAACGTGAGTTTTAGATTGAAAAGGTTCAAAGAAAAAAATTACAAATGACCACAAGGGGGAGCCAAAGCATGGATGTAAAATAGAATGGACTCGGAAGCAGATATCTACCCAATGAAAATATAAAATACTGTGATTGAAAGAAAGAACTGTAAGGAATATTCGTTTATTCAAACACTGGCACAACGTCTACTTGTCCTGTAAAGTTTTAGTTTAGTTTTGTTTGAGGACTACACCCAGCTGTGCTCACGACATACTCCTCACTCTGTGCTCAGTATCACTTTGGCAGGGCTAGGAGATCATGGGATGCCATGGACAGAGCACAGGTTTGCTTCAGGCAAGGGAAGCACCTTACCCTCTCTACTATTTCCCTAGACCTTTCCTGTGAATTTTGACAAATTACTTAACCTCTATGCTTAATTTTTCATATTAATAAAATTGGCATAACCATAACACCTACCACAAATGTCATAAACACAAGCATGTACGAACACTAACAGTAAATGATATTGTCACTATGACAATATCAAAGGTAAATTTAAATTATTTTGGCTTCTCTGAAAAAATAGAGGAAAACTCTGAAACTGCCC